ACTTCTAATATATTAACTTTTCTTTTTTTTTAATTTTTATTTATTTGAGAGAGAGAGAGAGTGAGAGAGAGAGAGAGAGTGGTGTGTATGTGTGGCCAGCTCAGCCCACTACGGGGCGGGGCTGGCTGGCATGTGGTGCTGGGGGATTGAACCGCGGTCCCTGATGCTTTGCTAAGCTTGTTCTAAGTAGGTGCTTTAGACCACTGAGCCATCTCTCCAGCCCAACTTTTCTAATCCTCATAGCAACCTCTGGTCCTTTGCGAATGAGACATGGAGGCACCGAGGTCCAGCTCTTTGCCCAAAGTCACGGAGTTCTGAGTGCCGAAGGGGCTTCGCCTCTGCGTCCGAGCCCAGGACTGAATACTGTTCTGTCTGACAGGCCACAGCTGTCCAGCAGCTCGCTTGCCGTTGTTCTTGGACACCCAGGGTGTCTCATGAATGTGCGGGTCCCACCCTGCTTGCATCTCTTCGCAGTCTCTTGAACCCTGGAATACCCGGCCTGGAAGGGACCTTCCGAGCTCTCTGCAGCTTGGGGCTCCCTTCGGGCACTGCATGGTAGGATGCAGGCACTCTTGCCTGTGTTTTCCTGTGGACCTGGCCCCTCTCCCCACCCAGAGGGAGGTGCTGCTTGGGATGGCTGGAGTGAGCATGGACCCCTTGCGTCTTGCTGCCAGGCTGGTCCTGGAGCCGTCCAGGATTCTCAAAGGGACAGTTCTTGGGGCAGCACTTGTGTCCTGAGAGTCGGAGGATGGGGCAGAAAATGGTGGAGGCTGCTGTGCAGAAAAGAGCTGGGGGTGTGCACAGCGGCCTGGACAGCTCTCAGGATGTCACAGGACTGAGAAAGAGCGATTCGGAGCTGGGCCTTGTGGCCTGGGACCAATTAACCAGATTAATTATACACATAGAGAGCCACATAGAACATACCACATAATAAATATTTAGGGCAAAAAGGAAAAGGATATTTTGTTTGATTTTTCCTCCCCTTCAGTACTGGGGATTAAACGTGGGACCTTGCACCTGCCAGCAGGTGCTTATGCCACTGATCTGGCCCCTTGTTTGTTTGAGACAGGGTCTCACTGTAGCTCAGGCTGCCCTCAAACTCATGGCATTCCTCCTGCCTCAGCCCCCTGGGCGCTAGGATAACCGGCTGCACCATTGCATCCAGCAGTAAAATAGACCCTGCATTATCTAAATTCTTAGTTCCTGCAAGCTCTGTATTGTTTTATAAGATTTTCTTTCTTTTTTTTGGTGATAAAAGGCAAATGCAGTCAATTGCGCCTCTTTTTTTCTCCTAAAATAATGTGCATTTAGGGGGACTATAAAAATTATGCTTATTGTTGAAATTCTGAAAAGTCCAGTAAAGCTTTAAGAAAATAAAATCCTTTATCCTGCCACCTGGGGAATAAGCACTGTAAACCTTGTGATATATTTTTCTTGTTTGCTTGTATAAACACACATAAATATTCTGCATACAGTGGTTGAAGGTCTGCAATAAGTAATCCCACGCCTGCTTGTTCTGTGCCTCAACACTGTGGTGTTACAGGCTCCTGATAACTTGGTGCAAGTAGTTACAGTCGCCCACTGTGTCAGGCACTGCCGTCTGCACCACAGTGCATTAATTTCAAGTCAGACTTTAAGGTCATTCCCGGGATCCCAGCTTTTCTGACAGAGTACCTTACTATCGCCCTAAAGATCTAGTTCAGGGCTGGAGAGATGGCTCAGTGGTCTAAAGCACCTACTTAGAACAAGCTTAGCAAAGCACAGGGACCGCGGTTCAATCCCCCAGCACCACATGCCAGCCAGCCCCGCCCCCTGGTGGGCTGAGCTGGCCACACACACACACACACACACACACACACAATAAATAATTTTTTTTTTTTTTTAAAAAGATCTAGTTCATATAAAAACAGCTTTTTAGGCAGAATGCAAATCCAGTTGTTGCATGTGTTGCGTAGCGGCCCGGCTCTTAGTCTCTAATGATTCCCATAGACAAAAGGGCGGATCCTGAATGCATTGTGACCCCGGCCCAGGGCCTGCAGTGCCATCCTGCGTCAAAGCACAGCTGTGGCTAAGGCTGCCTTTTGTGCACTCCCAGGCCCAGGGGTTCTCCTGTGGATCAGGCTGGCCCGTGGTGGGCTCTCTTCTGGGGCGAAAGGCCTGCCCTCCTGCACCCTGCTAGGAAGGGCTTGGTCTGTTCCTTCTTGTGGTTCCTTATGCTGTGGCTTGGATCCGGACCAGAGCGCTTCTCACTGCTGTTGCCACTGGGATTCCCTGAGCAGCTAGTGCAAGAGGCCCCTGGCTAAAGGAGCTCGGGACTTGCTGCTGGATAAATAAAGGGGCGCTCCGAATGCACAATGCTCATGACTTCTCAAGTCCTTTGTATGCTGGTTCTTGGTGGATCTCAGCCACAGTCTGTCTAGGGAACCCTCTTTTTGTTTTTGAGGGTTGTGTACCATCAGTGTTTTAATACTGACTTGGTGGTATTAAACCTAGAAGCACTGACAGGCTGGATTGATTCCCGCCAGCACTGAAGTCCGGGCCTGTCTGCCTTCTGGGCAGGACCCCATCCTTGAGATGAACAGTGGGGCCAGTGTCAGAGTGTGCTAGATAGCTCGCTAGATTTCTAACGTCATGGTTCTTCCAGGCCATCTCCACCGAGCTGTGTAGAACCCACTGAATGTGAGGCTTGCATTTCTGTTTTCAGAAACTGACAAAACACAGAGGCAGAGGCAGGTGCCATAGCCCAGCAGGACAGGCTATGGGGAGAGAAGAGTCAGGCCAGGCAGGAAAGGCTGCCTAGCATTGAGCCAGGCCCTGGGATGCTGCCCTGGGACAGAGTTTTCCTCGTGACCAGGGGAGCAGAGGACTGGGCCCTCGTGCCTTGGCATCAGCCCAGCCTGCTTCCCCTGGCCCACAGAACCCAGTGGATACTCTGGACTCTATGTCTCTGTGTTTTTAGATAAGACCCCTGGACTTGCTTTTCCTTTTGTTTTACAGAAGAAGATGTGGAGAACTTTGATGTGACCAACTTGTCTCAGGACCGGCTGCGAAGCATCGAGGCTGACAGCTTCTGGTGCATGAGCAAACTGTTGGATGGGATCCAGGTGGGCTCCTCGGTGCTGCAGTGTCCCCAGGACCGGGATGCCCCATACCACTGGCTCTGTCCTCAGAGAAGGCCCCTTCTTCCAGAGAGGTGCAGAGCTCGTGGGTTTGCTTCCCAAGGCGGTGCTCCCTCCCTCAGGATTTCCCCAGGCTCTACTGTTCCAGCTGCTCCTTCCTTCCTCCAAACACCATGGCCAGCCATCAGCGCAGGGTGTGGAAAGAGGGCCTGTGTTTCTAGAATGTTTCAGTGAGCTGGAGGGCAGTTGCTTAGTGGCTTGCGGCCCTGCTCACAGTGCCCTGTCTTCTCAGGATAACTACACCTTCGCACAGCCAGGGATCCAGAGGAAGGTCAAGGCACTGGAGGAGCTCGTCAGCCGCATCGATGGTAGGTTCAGGGGAGCAGGCTCCTCGGTGGGGACAGGTGTGCTCGAGACTGGCCCATGGCCCTCGCTCCCTCCCAGCTCCCTTCCTAGCTGTTACCCTTCGTGGGGGCTCCACACTGTTGTCTGGAAGCTGTGGTAAGAATGCTGCAGTCAACTGAAGACCTTCTTTGCCTTAGCTCCTGCCACCAAGTCTCCTGTCCCGTCAGCATCCATGTCCTGTTCACCGTGGAGCCTCTTGTGTCCTCCTAGTGCCTTTGCTATTTTGCTTCTTGTTTTTCTGAGGTAGAGCCTCACTCTAGTCCAGGCAGACCCTAAACTCACTGTGTAGCCCATGCTGGCCTCAACCATTTGGCAGTCTCCCTGCCTCAGCCTCCTGAGCCTGGGGTTAAAGGCCTACATCACCAGCCTGGCTGGCCTGCCTTGGCCCCTCCTGCCTCAGCCTCTAGAGTGCCAGGTGCCAGGCATGCGCACCATGCCTATAGTCTGACCGCCTTCCTGTGGTGAGGAAACTTAGAACTCTTGGGTGATACGGCAGCCTTGGGTCTGGCTGACATCTGCCGGTGTGCTCTTGCTCCCAGGGCCCCTGTGCTGGGGGCGCAGAGGCATGAGGGTCAGCAGCCCGGAGTCTGTGAGGAGGGGCCTGTAGGTGGCCCAGGTAGCTCTGCAGTTGAACCTCTAGAGCACAGGGCTGGCAGCAAAGCAGGGTAGCAGCAGCCCCCTCAGGATGCTGTCCATCCTGTGCCATCCCGCAAGCTGCCCTGCTTGCGCATCCTTCCTGGAATTTTCTGCTTCACCCTAGCAAAGCCTCTTCCTTTGTTCTGTACACAGAAGTTGTCTCTCTCTGCCCCCATTCTGCTTCTCTGAAGCTTCCCTCCATCTGTTCCATTCACCCCAGCTTCCTCCTGGGACTTAAAGTTCAGTCTGGCCTCATTTGTTCCCTCACAGTCATTTCCCACTTGCTCCTGTGTCTTGTCTCGTCCTCGAGTGTCCCTGGTGTCGCCCCCAGCGCATGGGCAGGGTGCCCACCGCCCTCCTCGAGGCACTGAGTTGGCTGCCGAGGTGGCCGTTCCTCAGCTTCCGGCATGCAGAGGCTGTGGGGTCTGCCTGGTCCTTGTTTTTCTGCTCTTGCAAATACCTGAAAAAGAAAAACCTAATTTCTAAAACCTATAGAAAACTACGTTTCCCTGTACTGTTTCCTTGCATTAGAATACTCCTATTGCGAAGGCTTAGGCAAAGCAGAAAACGCACAGTACTTAGAACTGCTCCCCTTCACTTAAGTCCTGCATCTCAGAAATGAGCATTGTTAACACTTCTTATAAGAACTGAACTACTGGGGCTGGGGTCCATAGGGTGCCTCCTTCATCACGCGGGGGCTGGCAAGGGCTGCATGGGTCCCAGCGTCACAAAAGGAAAAAAGAAAGAACAACTAAAAACAAAAAGAAAGAACAAGGAAAACAATCCTCCATAGCATTAATTGAAGTGGAGCAGCGATCTGGTCCGCGTTGGCTTGCTTCAGGCCACAGATGGCCCTTGGACGTGGGCTTGGCTGGTCCAGCTGGTCCAGCTGTGCACCTGCTGGAGTCGCCTCATCCAGCAGCAGGACAGGCGCCTCGTGTACAGTCCCGCCAAGGTTCTTTTCCATGCCTCTCTTGCCTTGATGAGAACTAAAATGGCAGCCCGGGTGGGCCAGCTCCCCACAGGGAGGGGTGACAGGAGGTGGAATCTGCCCTTTCCCTCCTGGGCTGAGCCTTGGGGCCAACCTTGCCTCCTGTTCCAGAGCAGGTACACAATCACTTCAGGAGGTACGAGGTAGAGTACCTGCAGTTCGCCTTCCGGTGGATGAACAACCTGCTCATGCGGGAGCTCCCGTTGCGCTGCACCATTCGCCTGTGGGACACCTACCAGGTACAGCCCCTGCTCCCTGCCTGCACCCCTCCTGGCCCCAGGAGCCCCATCAGCCAAGCCCCACTTCCCCGCCAGCTCCTGGCCTGACTCTTCTCCCCCGACAGTCTGAGCCAGAAGGCTTCTCCCACTTTCACCTCTACGTGTGCGCAGCCTTCCTGATCAAGTGGAGGAAGGAGATCCTGGATGAGGAGGACTTCCAGGTGAGAACGGGTGGGGCAGGGTGCTCCGGCACATGGGTAGGATCCTGGAGCGGAAGGGCTCGGGCTCGCGTGGCATGCTGCGGCTCTGTGTGCCCTGCAGGCTCTGGGCCAGGCCCTGTTGGAGGACTGAGCATGCTCGTCTGCTGACGAACCAGGGTGTGGGAAACACTCAGTTTAAAAGATGGTTAGGCAGGGGCTGGAGAGATGGCTCAGTGGTCTAAGGCACCTACTTAGAACAAGCTTGGCAAAGCATCAGGGACCGCAGTTCAATCCCCCAGCACCA